ATATGTTGATTTGTTTATGCTTTACATGAAAGTCTAAACATTTGGATGAACTCATATGATAGGATGACCTTTCATAACCTTTACTTACGATTTAGTCATGGATATTACTCCTTGAAGAATACCAGAACTCCCACCCAGAACTGGAAGCAGAGCAAATAGCAAACCCACAGTGCAGTCCTAGTAGGTCGCACAAGTTTAAATCAGTGAGAAAGCATAAGCCTGAATCTTCAATCATTGTTTAAATACAGAAACTTATCAGTGATAGATGCTGTAAAGTGAGAAATTGTGGTATCACATACCTGCAGTATAAGAGTGCCAACCACAACTTGACCATGAAGAGCACTAATACTATTTCTTTCCATCAAGAATTTCAAAACCTGCAGACCAAAAAGGATGAAACAATACAGAATCTGAGATGTGGTACAGGAAGATCAAGTTTCAAGAATACATGAAAACAAATGAGATTTGACTAAAGGAGAGGTAGGCAAGCTTGTTTTCTGGTATCACCACTTAGATATATATTGCACCAACTAGTCCATCCAATTGCATATCAACGCCTCATATGGAATAAGAACACAAATAAAATTCTATGCATAGCAAACAATTGTAAAGCAGTACTAAGGCCAGATTAACATAATATGAAGACACCCACAACCCATTTGCAAGAATTATCAAATTGGTCATGAATCCATATACTTCCCCCAGGTAAAAACATAAGTGGTACATGAGAAAATATATAGAGATATAAGGGCAAAGAGAGTCACCACTGCTGTTGAAGACATAGAAAGAAATGCACCAACGAATACCCCTTCAGAAGGTCTCCCACCGCATAACTAGAAATAGCATGCAGTAGTCACATTAGAAATCCATTGAACACACAGATCTAAGTGGAAAGAAAGAAAGTAGAAACAATTATGACATGGAGTCAAAAAAAAGAAAGCAAGAGAACGAAAATGTTTTAAAGTATAATACTAATTTACACTTGTCTCATAGAGCAAAATGGCTAGGCTTAGTCCAGCCTGACTACCATGTGGTGCACATGGTATAATTCCATAGCCCCAGAAACAAAGAACTACCTCAAATACCCAGTCCAAGGTATGAAAATTGGAAACTCCAATTGGGTAACAAGTCCTTTTGAAGTATTTTTTTTCACAATATATATGTAACACACAATGTTGATTAAAATGCGGACATACTGAGGCTGTTATTCCACACAAGCACATAAACAGGAAAATTTGCAGTAGACCTCCCAGAACAGCCACTATTCGAACAACCCGAAGCTGCAAACTTGAAAAGGAATGAGTAGTATCATGGCCTAAATTAACAGACAAACAAAACTCAGAAGGAATACTGCAACATTAAATTTACAAGCCAACCTTAGTAGCTGAGAATTCCAAGCCCAAAGCAAAAAGAAGAAAGATCACCCCAAACTGAGCCACTGTCTCAACCTACATGCATGTAATTTAATAAGGAAATGGAAGTAATGCGTATGAAGATACTTTAATATCATATGACAACATACTTGCACCATTTCACTGACAAAACTTAAACCTCCAGGTCCGATGACAGATCCTGCTAGCAAATATCCAGTAATAACCTGCAAAAATTCATAATGTAGTGAGTGATGACTTTTAGGACAATACGTGGATCTAACGGCAAAGAAAGACTTAGCATATAGATGCCAGGACTTAGTTCAGAAGATAATTCCCAATCTTCAAATAGAAATTCATTATAAAAGAAAGCGAAGAGCTATGATGGTGGACTGACTGGTTGTCCAGCACAGGCAAAGGCAATTCCACCACAAGTTGCAGAGACAATGACAACTACCAGATCCGAAATCAGTCTGAACATATGAAGAGGATATATCAGCCAAAAGTTTCAGTGGCTCATAAATGAAATGGCAATAATAATAAAGAAAACATAAGCTGACCTCAAGTCCAATTGCAGCACAGGATATTTTGATTTGCGATTAGACATAATAAAGACATTGTCCTGATAAAATAAAAATAAAACTTTCAGCCTGCTGAAAAGTATCAGCTTCAAGCACAAGACAGTGTATTTATTATCCAAAACAGCAGTATGTTATCGTCGCCATAGAATTGTTATGTGCCTTACATCCATGTACTTTTATCCACTTAAACTTGAACTGTTACCTATCTATATTACAATAATATAAACGAATCGTGAACTCAATAAAATTATCCAATGACAGATGGCAGGCATACCTTCCGATCTATTAAAGTTGGCATATCTTCTTCTCCATTCTCATTATCCAGATGGAAAACATCCTGAAACTGAAATGACCTAATATAAAGGTCACAAAGATGTCAGCGAACTCACTTAAAGTATTCCTATTCCAATTACAACCACTTCCATAAATTGAAGTCAAACATATTTGATCTTCAATTCACAAGATAGAAGAACATACTTCTCCTCCTTGCTGTCATTTTTCTTGGACTTAACTCTAGCAACGGTTTCCAGAACTGCCTAATAAACAAACAGTTAAGCTTTCAATCTCGGGCCAAGGATTATGCAAAATCACTCATATATAAAAGTAAATAAATGATATATTATCAAGTTGGATCGGATTAGCCTTGATCCATGTTTAATGTGTTAAGCTGAAAAATTCAAATCCTAATCTGATAATCCTATCGAATCATCACCCTTGTCCAGTTCATCTAATAAGATACAGATGAATTATATGAGATCCTGATCTGTTGACAGGCCTAGATAGACTCTTCAAGCCATACCCAACAGAAGAAATGTTGGAGTGATAAGTCTACATAAATAGCATCCACCTTAAACCTTTTTATTTTCTTTGATCAATGTAAAGAATTTTCTTTTATTGGTAGCTAAGATTAAAATGCGTCAAAGGTGTTAACTTTAAAATTTCGAGAAGAAATAAGTTTGTCTATGGATTCTTTTCGACCAACTAAATCCCTAAATCAGCTCCTAGGTGATTATCATCCAGTTACAAACTTACAGCCCATTTACCTTGATTAAGAGAACTGAATATATCCAACACATGTTAAAAAAAAGAACGTAGCAATTCTTAAGCTCTGTTTGTTCTTCTCACACTCGCCTAACTCGAACACCAACAAAATTACTTTAAAATCGCGAATTTCAGAGCATGTGAGTGCCTACCTGCTGTTCATTAACGCTATTATTGAAGCCACCAGCATCCGTGGCTGCACAAGAAGACACAATTTAGACCAATCATCTACTGTTATTAATTGCTTCAAATTTTCCACAGGAGACAAACAATGACAAAATCAACTTAGCAACCGAATTAAATTCCACATTTTTCATCACCAAACAGACGATTTAACAATGCATGCAACGCCAAACATGAAATTTAAGGCCGTTAGGCGTTTAGTTCGATCAGAGCAGCAATTGAAAGCCAATTATGGAAATTGTAAACCGAGGAATTGAAGCTCGGATATAAAGAACCTTGATTTTGCTCATTCTCAGGGAACTCCCGCTCCAGAGCCCGATCAATCATGTCGGCGAAGCTGTCCTCCTCGGCG